TGTTAATAGTTGATTACATGCGTAAAGCTTAGGTAACGGTCTGATGAACGGAGAACGCATGACTCTGAAGGTGCATTTTGTGGTCTAGGGTAATATCACACCGCCTGCAAGATATCGTGTCATCAGGTTTGATATGTTGAAGGTGCTTTCTTCTGATATGTTTGGACACTCCCCCATGTGTAGAGAATTTGTCCAGACAGATGAAGCAGTACAGCGGTCGATGGTCTTCCATCACCGCCTTGAGGGCAATATCCCTCTCGCTTGGTGGTGGCGGTGGCGGTGGTGGGACATGGATCTCGATCTTCACCTCCTGGAATACTTTGGGACCAGGGCGCTTGTCATGCGGCAGCCGGCAGGTTTCCCCTTCCTCGAAGCGACAGTAGTCTACAACAGCGTCGATCGCTTCAGTACGCCGAAGCATTTCATCTTGCAGGGTCTCGCGGGGTAGGCTAAGCAGCGCCGATATGAGTCGTCGATGTACCGGTGGAACTGCCGTATTGGCATCAAGAGATTTTTCGACCTTCCTTGAGATCTTGATGCCCGACAGCTGTCGCTTGATCTCGCGCAGGGGCTCCTCAAAGTCAAACTTTTCCTGTTTCTCGAGTAGGAGCTTGTCTCGAGCCCGCTGGCGTGCACCTGCCAATTCACGGCCGACCCTGGTGTAAAGCTCATATTTGACAGTGCCCTTGTGTCTGGCAATGGGACGTCCGAGACGTTTACTGAGATGGTCGCGTTTCTCGATCAATTCCTTGATGTGAGGTTGTTGGTTGACCGACGATGACTCTTCGGTGGTGAGCTCCTGCGGTCGGCGTGGGTTGACGGTGCGGATCATTCGACATGCGGCACGTATGATTTGTTGCTGCGGATCTAGGCCTTGAACGACCGCACGAACATCCTTGTCCACCTTTCGGTGGAGATAGTATTTAAGAAACGTTTTAGGATCGGAATGCTGGAAGATCAAACTTCGAACCGCATCACTGATGTGCCCTTCAGAGTGATGAGGATTAGCACATGACAATCGGAAGGAAAGGTTCTCCTCTCGCTTACCGCTATTATCCAGGGCCTTCCCTGCACCGTATCGCAAGCTATAAGGGCGGACGATCTGGCGTATTGTCGATATTTTTCCTATACATTTGATCCAGGGTAAGAGAATATTGTAGGTGAGGGCCTCTACATCAGATATTCTGATTCCATCCAGCGTCCGCTCGGATCTCCGCAGTATCGGGATGTCGCTCAGTCCTGGGTCCAAGTTGAATTCAAGCTGATAAGTATCTTCTGGGATATCTAGATCAAGCAGTTGCGATGCTGAAGTAAGGATCCTCTCGCCATCGAGGCGAGCGAATGCACCATCAGCAAACAGGAGGCCTAAAAGGATAACTTGGGGACTGAGGATGAGCGATGGATCGAAGATGATCTCCGGTATCACGAACTCGGTCCTAGTTATAGATACCGTTCTGTCAGTGGTGTTGATCGCATATAATACAGTTTGCGTTCATGGGTGGTCGGCTGGATGTTTCACATACTCTTCCTTTTCTCCAAGAAATTATTTGGTGAATTCGGTGGTAAACTCGATCAGGATATTATTGGGCCCACCTTCTGGGTCTTTTATTAGTGTTACCTTGATGTGTCGATAGCACAGGCTCAGCAATGCTTGTGGTCGATTGGCCGAGAACCCGGCGAGCTGGAAATATAGAATAAGTGAAATCCGTAGCCGCCCGTGACCGAACTTCTTTTTTGTGGTTGTGACAGTTGTCTCCACGACCCTGATCAGATCATCAAGGTAGACAGTGGTCTTTGGCCGGGGTTTATTGGAGAGTCGATATTTTTTCACGAGAACTGGTATACCCTTGGGAATAGAAAGCCAGGATTAGTGAGTTCAGTGAGCATCTCAGGACCAAGCCTGTATCAACCTATATCAAGAGACCACCGCGAGACGGGGCGTACATTTTTGACTATGTGCCTAGATGTATCCTTGTCGATTTTTTCATGCATCTCCAGCTCATATACGGTACGGAAGTTCTTCCAATATGTGTTCAGGGCGCTCTTGCGTTTTATACCTTGCCGGCGTCTCCCGTTCTTTCCCCGGCGTTGATTCAGCATCCAATCAAAGAAGGTGTAGAGAACACGATAGTCAAGCTGTTGATACATAGCCTTTGCATCTGACTTGAGAAACTTGCAATAACTGTACAGGGCGGTGAGATAAACTGAGCGGAATGTAGTTCTTGAAGTCATGGACATTTTTACCTCAACCATTCCTGTCTGATACGATCCTGCAGAGCAAGCGTCCCAATAGCATAGTTGACACACTCTGTGCGAGACAAGTCTATAGTCTGCATCATGTTAAGGTAATGCTCTGGTGAATGATTATTCTCCGTCAAGAGTTCCGCCAGATCGTCGATATCCTGCTGCTCATCTTCTTTCTCTTCCTCTTCTTCTTCTTCCTCCTCCTCCAACTTCTCCTTCTCCTTCTTCCCGTCACCATGATGAATGGGGGTTGTGATGTCTGTTTCGCCGCTGGCATCGGAATCGACATCACTGTCGGTGTCCATCATAAATTCGTCACTGTCGTCACTGTCGTCACTGACGATTGGAGACGGAACCACTGAGCCCCGTCGACGGGCCATCTCCATAAGAAATTAAATGGGTGAGACAGGGTAGAGGCGGTAAAGCCAGAGGTGGAGAGCTGGAAGAGAGTGAATGGTCTGAATGGTATCAGGATGGGTGGAAAGTAGAAATGGGAGTGGGAGTGGGAATGGGAATGCACCTCAGAGAGGGGGAGGGTGAGAGAGCTGGGAGTAGCCATGCTTTTATATTTGGTGAGGGAAAGGCCATATTCGGCTTGCATGCCAGAAACTGGGTGAAGCGGGTGAATGAAGGGAGTTGCGATGCAACCGCCCATCCAAAAATAGTGGATGGGTGAAAGAGACGGATCGGGCGTGGGAGTTGAGGTTGTGCGCGTAAAATATGGGGCGTGGGGTGCGTGGTGCGTGGAGGTAATGGATAACGGGAGGCTAAAAGCAGCCGAAAAAACGGCTAAAACGGGCTGTCTGTTCACCGTTTTAATGTTTAAAATAGTAAAATTAATGATAGAAATAATTATAAAATTAATGATAAAAAATAATAATGAAAGCTTCTTTGTATATACAATATCAATGAAATAAAGAATGAATGAAGAGGTTTCTTTGATAAATTATCAAAATAACAATATTTACATTGAATAACATGGTTATAAAACATCACCATTTTTTGTATGAGAAGGTTAAGTAAATATGTTAGTTTTATTGATTGATAAATTACAACATGTATTATATACCATCAAATACACTGATAAAATACATATATTACTGCAATGAAAGTGAGAAGATGTTTGAAATATCAATATTGTTTCTCAATTTATTTGATTGCTTTATTGAGACTAGTTGTGGCGTACTTACGCCCTCTATTCACCTCTGGCTTCCGCTCCACCTCTTGCTGCTTCCTGGAGCTTCCACTTCTACCTTCTCTACAGAGAGCTTTCACTCCTACCTTCTTTATAGAGCCTCTGTCCTTCTCTTTGTATGCAATCACTCCTTCTATGAGAGTTGATCTCTGTAAACAATCACTGTATATATATAGGGGCGTACGCCCATCTCCCATCTTTTAAAGAACAAGATGTGTTTATACTCATAATTTGACCCTTATGTAACAGTGTATGCTACAATTTGGTAGCATGTCTTGTTAAGAATCAAGTCCTTTTAGCTCTTTAGCTTCCACTTCATTCTTGATATATATAGCACTGATGATTGGACTGGGCTGTGGATGCTGAGGATTGACTAGCTGGTGATTGGTCTGATTAGTTACTCTACTGTCTTTCAACACTACAGCTAGTGATTGGTCTAGCTTGTGGTTGTTCAACTATAAAGTATTCTTTGTGACGGCGAGTGCGCGGCTGGAAACGGCGTTCCCCGCCCGATCCGGTGAAGCGCCGTCCGTGTGTGGTCTAGCGCGGATCGATGTGGTCTGGCGCTGCCCCGTTCGGGCATGGCGCCGACCCACCGGTCACCTTCGACTCTCCGACGTCATCTGTCGCGACTATATAAAGCTGCTTCGACTGCCTCCCTCGCACACGCACTTCTGCGTCCTTATTTCCCTTTCTCCCCTTCATCCATTTCCTTTCCTTCTCTTCTCTGCCCCTGCCGCCGCCTCGTCCCCCCGACCCACTGCCTCTTCGCCACCACCCAGCCGTCCATCACCCTGATTTGGTCGCCGCCGGTCGAAGAAGGCCTCTGCGGCATTGGCATCAGCATCGAACCCGCCTAGGGTTCTTTTTCATATATGCCATATGTGTTCTTTGCCTTACACCTTCTTCCACTCCTCTTCCTGCTCCTTCACTCTCTACTCCCGTCTCGCGTTGAAGTGATACATGCGATCTCAAAAACAAAACCAAAAATATACCACATCACCTCCCCGTATCAGCAACTGGTCAACCCCACCCACAGTTCCTCGGTCACTCTGTAACCCCTCTCTCGTGCTTCGGACGTGCCTCCTGCTCAGCGGCCAATGGCAAAAATGCCTCATTTCGGTGAAACCCCGTAGGAATGGATGATCGATCCCGACTGCGGCGTCGCTGAACCGGCGCCATTCTTCCCCCGACCCTTGGACTCGTTCTTCGACCTGTTATTTGCTGGTGCCTATGTGTCGGACCAAGAAATAACAAGAAGGGCGGTCGATCACATGCCGTGTTTCCGGCCTTCCTTCTGCCCGTGGTTCGAAGGACCGCAGTTTCAGCTCCGGTGTGATCAACCCCGCCAGGAAATTCCTGCGATATGGTACGCCAGCGAGCTGAAGTCGCATCGTCCGGTCATCCTCGCATCGGGCTTTCCGGAGCGTGTCTGCGCCGCGTACACCATGTAGAGATGCAGGGATGGTGTGATACAGGAGGAAGTCGCAGGGCCGAAGGCGTGAGGAGGCCGCATAAGCGAGGCTATAGCTGCATGTGTGCACAGCCGTCGTGTGCCGCTCGTTCTCACTCTCCTTGGGGGATTCGCATCCGATTCGTCCATGGTCCTCGCATCTTCCATGCCTGGATCGTTCAAGCGAAATTGGACCAGGACGGGAGGAGGCTGTGGCGCCGCTTCTGCGTCCACCCGACAGGCGATGGACATGGCTGGCCGCTACTCGCACCTGCTTGGGTTACATTCTGCTGTTACGTGTGCGGTGGCCGACGATGTTTGATTTGGAGAGCCTGACGCTCGTCGGCTCTCTTTTGAGCGGGTGTAGATTTTTCTGGCTGATGGGCTTATTTGGAGGCACAGGGAGGATGGAGCTATCATCAGAGTGGTGAAAACTGTAGATAAAATGCTCTGCTTTCCCTCATGAATTCACCACTGCTGTTCTGATGAACTACATGAGATCATCATCTCTTCTGTGAACATGTGCGGCGACTGGAACATATATACCCCTTTCAATCCCCCCCTCAAGGCCTCGAAAACTCCTGAGTCCTCTAACCCTGCGAATCTCCCCCCTTCAAGACCCATGCCCGCAATTCATCAATCCTCTTATCTTATACCCTCTGCATTCCAATCTCTCCAGACGGTCCCTGCACCTTCCATCAGCCTTCAAACACTCTCCCATCTTTTGCCCCCTCGTCCTCCTCCCTTCAGTCGTCTTTCGCAAGCTCCGCCTTTCCCCCCTTTCAAAGATCACCATGAGGTCCAGTCTCGGGCAGGGGATACTCGCCTGAATGATTTTGATGAATTCTTCGCGGGACTTGATTCTCTCTGCGTCCCCATCCCCAGTGATGCAGTCGTGGAACGCTCGAGCCGGTATTTGCAGGATGAGAGACACGGGTCTCATGGTAGGTAGCCGGCCCGCTCTCTCTCTCTCTCTCTCTCTCTTCCCTTTCTTTTTGTTCTATCTGGTTAGACCGGTTTCTAACACCAGGGCGTCTCCAAGGTTTTCCTGACGGGGATGAGGACAGAGGCCAGGAGAAGGACGACGGATTTTTACCAGTTCCTTCACCCGCTGTAGAATGCGGCCTGGTCGGATCCACCAGCATGAAGGCTCTTCCTGGTGACGGCAGTTCAACATCCGTTCTGGATTCGACTCCACAAGCTGGCTTTTTGGAGCCGGGATCGGATCAGGATACATCACATAGATGAAAATGGCCCCGAAGCAGTTCTGATGACCCTCTGCCCTTCAATCCACCGATCATGGTAGACTCTGATGACAGCGCTACGGATGGGTCCGCTGTTGACAGCACCTTCACATCTCCCGCCAAATGAGACACTTGCAGCCGTGCAACATCCATATCTCGCTCTCTCAAGGTGGATGGTGGAAGCGACGAAGCCGGCACTGGCATCGCCGGTGGACGTTCTATTTCGCTCAAGAGACAACGCCGAAACAGGGCTGGTACCGGTGCCATGAACCCCATGGTCGCGGTCGAAGTACCGATAATCGCGGATCGCCTCAAAGAAGACATATTAAGCCGACTCCGGACCCGCCAACGGAAGAGTCGTGCACGATCGAGGCGTGAGGTCCCCAATACCCAGGACTGTAAGTTTCCCGGGAAACCCGTGCAGTGTGTCGAAGACGACACGACCATGTCCGACACGAGTAGCTCGAGCGCACACTCCGACGATACAGACGACGACTACCGTGCGAGCAGCGAAGAGGATGATCCAATGAAACCGCCATTGAAGCATCGCAGGCTTCCCACACCGCCATCCGACACTGCGTCGCGCCGTCCTCAGTTTCGGATCCCAAGGGCAGCAGCCGCTGCAGGTCGTGAAGGTGTCGAACAGGAAGACAGCAGGGTGCGAGCGATGACTGCGAAGGACTGTTACACGACCCCCCCGAACACTAATCATGGACCGGACACATACGCCCACTCCCGACCTCCTATTGATGACAAGATGCGTCGTTGCCCTCTTCTGTTGTTGGCCCGAGGGGAAGCCGTGATGCTTTCATCTACAGTGACCCAAGTCATTTTCGAGATGGTCACGGGCCGTCCAATGACCGCCTCAGATCTCACTAGTGAGACGACAGCTGCAGCTGACACTGAAAGAGATTACAGTGAATGGAAGGTCGAGAGTCTGGATGAAAAAAGACATCACTGAACTTGAGAGGAGGACAACTGTCTAATGGCTCTGAAGCAGGATGGCTTCTCTTGGCCGGAGATTGAGGAGCAGTTTCCACACAGACAACTCAGCTCATTGCAGCAGCGATGGTACACAAAACTTCAGAATACGCACGCAAGCAACCCTCCCACTGACAAGCTGAGGCAAGAGGGGAAATGTAAGCGCGCCCATGCGTAGAATGTGTGTTGCGATGCGTACTTACTGATGCCATGCGAGCCTACCAGGTCGTGCGTCGGCTGGTGAACTCCTTTTAATATCGAAGCCGCCCACACCCCTCGAAACTTCACATCGCTATCCCAGCGGACAACCCCAACCAGCAGATGATCCGGCCACACCGAATGCGAAACCCCACACACCATCTCCGTCCTCAATAGTGACCGCCATGTGCCCAGTGTGCAATTCTGTGGTCGAGGTGGAGGCTTCCAGTGCGTTCGATGCCGCCAACAATCGCATGCGGGTCCGCGAGCAGCTGCGGTTCTGCGAGAAGCACCGAAAGGAAACCGCACGGCGCGAGTGGCCCCGACTTCGTATCCCATCATTGCTTGGGACTGCTTAGATGATCGGTTGACTCAATTCCATCCTCGCCTGCGCCGGATCCTCGATGATTCCGGGTACCGCTCCCGCTATAAGAGTGTTGTGCACAAGAAAGTGCGGAAGCATGGCAGGAAGATCCTCTCCCGGAGTATCCTGCACAGTACCGGCTACTATGGCCTTAGAGGCCATGAGATCCTGTGAGTGAAGAAACACCCCCCCAACCCCAACCCCAACCCCAACCCCGCGAACCCACCGGGGAACCTCTTCACTGACCTTCCCCTCAGCTCAGCACATGTCGTATCTCACTTTAAAGATGCCATCGACTCATTGGCCGGCATCGATAGCGTGGCGTCGAAGTATGGGACCGTTGTGTATGCCCAGGAGGTCTTGGTTCCGGAACTGCTGGAGATGTTGGTTCAGGAGGACATGGGAGTCGATGCCAAAGGGGCCCGCCGGATTCTGAAGGAGAGCAACGAGATCGGGAATTTGCTTAATCTTGAGTGCATCGGGTGCATGTAGTTATTGGTATGCATTTTCTTAGTGAATAACGTAGCATTAGAACATATCTTTTGGTTGAAGCTCAAAATCTTGCCCTCTTTCCTGTCTCATCTGGCATTAGATTGTTTAATGATACTCTACTTTTGTGCGAATGAATAAATTGCTAAGCTTTCCTGTCTTCCTACGTAGATATTCGAAAACCGTAATTAGAGTATTCTACCACGACAGACTCAAACGGATCATGAGCAACGCCGCAACAACTCAGGCAAGTAAGCCCCAAAGAGTACAAAAACGGAAATTTAAAGTAGCAAACCAGAAATTATAAATTGCACCATGGATATACTGGCCGGATGAGTGCTTGGGGTTTCGTATTGCTTGGACGGCAGCTTGGTCGTCAGTGAAAAACTTGTAGCTTGTTTTTGATTGAGCGTGTCATCCTTAGAGCAGAGGCCATGCTAATCTTCTCCATATATCATTCCAATTGACCAATGCCCTGGGTATATATATGGGCTCCCTCCCGCCTTCAATTCATGTTTCTTTTGATTTCTCCAGCCGCAAACCTTGCTCTTCATTACCCTTCTTTCTTTTCCTCTTCTTTATACTCATCCGTAATGTGCTTGTCTGTTCGATATATAATTGCGACCACTTAGCCAGTTACAAGTTGGCTTCTTCGTCAGTGTTTGAGTTCATCTGCCGCGCCTCTCAGAAGAAATCCGCCTTCCCTATCCTGTTATAGACCGCCCATAAATGTTTGAATTATTGGTTGCCTTTAAATTGCTCGAGTCCTCAGCCTACAGATGCGCAAATCCCAGCGGATAACAGCGCATCCGAAAGTGCAAAGCCTTTCCCAAAGGAACCAGCAGTTGTCTGCCAGGATCCGCGCTGCAGGCTACACTTCAATCCCAGCAGCAGCGGGGACGGTCCTCTATCAAGAGAAGATGAGAGTCCAGAGCAAATTGAACAGCGCGAAAATCTATCTCTGAAACCATTACCGAGCTTGGCACTTTCTCCATGCCGACACAGAGCGGTTCAACCGTCGAATCCAAGGCCAACAGGAACTCGATGACCTTACACAACGCCCCCGTCCAGTATTGCAGACCCCTGAGCGGAGGCAGGTTGTGGAATTGTCTTGCAGGCCCCAATCCGACTTGAAGCCTGATGATATCTTCCAGCAGCGATGCGGCAGCTGGTCTTCCGTGAACGCAGAACGGCCGAACCCGGCCGCATAATCCGGCTGCGGACGCGGTCCACAGAAGGCAATGGAGGAGCTCCACTGTTCATTGACGCTTTCAATTGTGGAGGTGGCCATCGAAGCGATATCCCCGGTGCCAATGACTAAGCATTAGTGGCAACGGTTGGGCGTCTCTGTGGTTGTTTCAGCATGCTGGCAGCTGAGGTTTATATGTGCCGTGCGCTAGTCCGTAATAGAAAGCCTAGGAGCCAACAGCAACTATTCGGCCATATGGGGCATCCCGCCGAACAAATCACGTGTCCAACGATATATAGTCTCAGCAATGACCCCAACATCATCGACATCAAGTCTCCCATATTAATTTGCCCATACGACCAGCTATCAGGTACCACTTAGTTTATATATAATCCAAATAAACGGTGCTGCACTATCTCCAATTTCTTTCCATCCATGTCAAACACTTTCTCCGGGTCAATCGGGAAGGAGGGCACCATATACCGTGACGAGGCAGGATTCGATGACAACTTCAAGCTCGACATCGATTTTGCGAAGATAGAGTTTGAGGAAACCCTAAATGTCTCAGAAGCGTCCTCCATATTTCATGTCAACTACTGTGGCAAGCCACGGGTCTTGAAAGTGGTATGTACCTTCATTTAGCATGCGTGCATTCCTTAACCTGTGTCAATTTTCCTGATCATGATGCGACGCAGTTCCACAATAATGGGGATCCTGGGTACGCCCGCGACCGTATTCGAGATTTGGACCGCTCTCGCTGTGAGATCAGAGCCTATTGCAGGCTTAAACGGTCCAAAATATGTGATTCTGGCGCTGTGCCCAATTTCTATGGTTTCATGCTAGCTATCGACCCAGCCAACTGTGCTCCTTATCTAGATGCCTTTCGACATGACACAGATTTTCCATGTGCCATTCTAATCGAGTACCTGCCAAATCCTTTGGTAATGAACTGCGTTACTTATACAACAGAACGTATGCAGAAAGCTGTCATTGGCATTCAGCAAATTCATCTAGCTTTAGTCGAGCATAATGATCCTTACCCCAAAAATATTCTCATTGTTCCTGGTGATCAAGAGAGGGTTATATGGGTTGATTTTGATGTTGCGATTGTTTATCCCAACGACACATACATTGAAAAGAAGGGACGTGGCCGGATCGAGTTTGAAACCGAAGTTGTTGAAAGCTTCGGACGGCTACTTGTTCGTCTCCACAGACAGCACATTCCTCCATTTTCCTGATTCGAAAGAGGCTGACAAGTTTTATAGGAAGAAGATCAAAAAAAGGGTCTGCCGCCAAACACAACATACTACTAGGAACGACTCCCAGCCTGCGCAGGGACATAAACACACAAAAAGGACTGCATTGGTTCGCTCGCAATTTGTGCTTGCTGAAGCAGGGTCCCATAGCGCTGCATGATATGAGCGTATGTGAATCCGGCCCACTGGCCAACACTGTTGATATCCCCCCAACTATAGTTTGGGTTTGTTGTATTGGGTGTCTTGTTGGTATTTTGGATAGGAAGAGCAGGAGGTGCCACCATCAGGTTAGTTTAAAAGAGCCTGGTTGTTGGCCATGGCTGCAACTGAATTTTGGATGACTAAAGAAGGTACATACATAAGTAGTAATTTCTCCTGCCTTGAGGAGAGCTGCGGAGCATCTAATAAGCCTAACACTGTCTTGAAGGGCCGCACACAACTCAGTGCTCTCCTCATTGGGAAATACAATCACGCTCATAGTGCTCAACCTTTCGGTACACCAATCATTTGCTGTAACTATGCTGATAGTGCTTAGCCAGGATTTGATTATGCCGGGCAAATCAAGCTTGCTGTCGACCCTCCATCAAATATAGAACAATATGGAGATGCTACGGAGGAAGAGTAAATAGAACAATAAAACAGGATGCCCACAAGCGCTGTGGTGATTTCATAGCTTCATGGACAGCAAAGACTCTTGTCCAACATTAAGTTGTGGGCTCTTTTCTTTCAAGATGTCACAACGAATTATCTGAGTGGCACTTTTCACTCGGGAACTTGCCAACTCGAAGGAGCCTTGTGTGCCACGAAGTGATGGGTCATAAACGAGCTGTTTTGTCACCCAATCTGACGTGGGGGCCGCAAAACAGTCAAAGCCAGTCAACACGCGCCAATGATCAACCCTGGCATTGATACTCCTCGGCCTTCCGCCTGATAAAAGAGAACAATGCCGGCTGTCAATTAGGCACCAATGCGTGGATGTGGAGCGAATGATCCTTAGCTCGCTGCGATTTCTATTGGTGTTTTAGGCGAAGAAAAATTGATACGGCCAGCTGTAATACCAGCTGAAAAGATACTAGCATTGGCGAATAATAGCTTAATACATCTAAGATTCATGAAATCTTGAAAGGTCAAAGCCTCATTTAGGAGCATGATTTGATTGGAAGTACCCCTTCATATAATACAATAAGGGTTCCAGGCTGCTGTCTGAAGAAACATGTCCCCTCACCATATGGTACTGATGCAACCAAGTTCTCAGCCTCCCATCACCGCAAATTACCTGAAAGAGGTCCTTAATATTCTTGACTGGAAGCCAACTGAATGGCAACGAAGATGCGATATATGCGACAGTTTTCTAACGATCGCCCTTACCCTACAGGGTTTTGCATGAGAATAACGCCAGGAATGAGCGTAAATAAAAAAGGGAATTCATTGCTACTTGGTGGTATCAGGGCTACGTACAAATGGCCGACGGCTTAATTTTGGAGAGACTTGCCGCTAGCACGGTTAATTGAGCTGGTTCCAATTCTTGCTCTTTTAGTATGCTTGGTCGAAGCCGGAGGATCCTCAGCGCTATCATTTGTGTGTGCGAAGCTCCACTGCGCAGCATCGTGGAACTCGGCTTCATCAAACGTGGTTGATGTATCAGAATCCTCCAGGATGATAGTGGGCTCAGAGGTTGCCTCACGTTCGGATGTAGAGAGGAGTTCCGATCGTGCTTGCGTGTGTCTCTCGTTTGCAGATTTGATAAACTCGTCCCTCCGTTCCTTTGCCCAATCCCGCGCATTTCGATACGCGCATGCCCCGCTCCGAAAAGTATCTGGGTTATCAGTCATCGCAAATGATCTTAGCGGGGTCATAATGTATTCAGACCGGCCATCGCTTTCTCGAGGGGCGGTAGGATGTGTTGTGTAGAGCATGAGTTGACCGGCTTGGTAGGTTGATGTTATCGTGTAGGCCTTATTATCGTAGGCAGGTTCATCCTGCTTGTACGACTGAAGTTTATATATTCCTCGAGCCCCCACTGCACCATCGTAACAAGCTTGCCGTGTAGCAACAGCAGGTGACCCGTCGGGGCCTTTAGCTTCTTGAAAGAAGTTTGGAGCTATCGGATGGTCTTTCTGCGTCGACGGAACAATGAAGTCGCTAAGCTCATCACGGATTTGACGATTTAGCTGCTCAGGCCGAGCACCAAAAAAGTGGTCTGGCTTTGCATTTGCCAGTGTGCCATCGGTTAGAGGAGCAAAGTTCCCAAATGGGTAGTCCCCTCCCATACACCTAACATCATCGATATGGCCTTCGATAATCGGAATGGCCAATCGTACTATAGGCTTCTCCTTGGATGCATTCAAGTCCGCCTCCCTAAACTCTTCAAATTCTTGCTCGGAGAACTTTGAGGGCGAGAGGGAAGCTCGGGGTTGCGCCAGTCGTTCATTGAGCTCAAGCCAGTTATTCGGTTTTGCCGGTTTCTGGCCATTGGGATATTTATATCCAGGGGGATAGACACCATGGTCAACCAGATTTTGTTGAAAGTTTCGATTATACGCTGTAGTGCTTGTAGTCTTCGTAGTGGTCTTTATTGTCGCTATCTGGAGCAGACCCCG